CCTAAAGTGTATCTAAACTCTTACATACTCCTGCTGGTTTTTAGTGCTGTCTGTGGCCCTGCTGTGGAAAATTGCCCTTCTATTTGTGCTAGTGACGATTTTATTAGGACTGAAAATGAGGGGAAAATCACAAATTCTCACATCACAGAAATTAAATTTGAAAAAAAAAACTTTTATTCGGATATACTCCTCAATAACAGAAAAGGATATAAATCCACTTTAGTACACCCAGATATAGGCTTGTAAAAATTGTAGTTACATCATCACTGTGCTGCTGAGTTTTGACAGTGACCCAGCAAGCCCACCCACTACATGCTGCCTGCAGACTACCATAGGAGGGGGCATATACAGGACCAGTCACCCTGCACAAGGAGAGAGAGCAGCAACGACCGGTCTTTATCACAGAAAAGCGGCTGCCCAGAGGAAAGGTTTCACACCGGATTACTGCACAGATCTGGAAGAAATATACAAAACACACCATGATTCAAGTAAAGACATACATGCCTCTTGTATTTAGTGAATATTTGGGTATCCTTTAACCCTTTCGCTGCCAAGGACGTACGTCGTACGGAGCTACAAAAGTGCTTCCAGCTGGCCAGCTCAGTACGTCGTACGGACCTGGCATTTACAGTTCTACTATAAGCTGATGGTCGAACATTTTTTAAACGGTAACACATTTCCATCACATTTCCCTTGGAGAGATTTCCTCTCATTTCCTGTCATGTGCACAGAAGGTGAAATCTCAGTGAGACACACGTGGCCAAAACATTAACAAGCTGATTATTTTTTTCTTAATCGATTTGGACTACTTTTCTCATCACTTGAAAAAATAGGCATGAAACATTTTACATTCCGGGTGTACCAAGATGGCCGCCGTACGCGTCACACTTCCTGGAGTACGTACTACCGCGAGGAAGGCCTTGCGCCATGACGTCACGAGAATCCCTCCGCTGTATCGGGAGGGGCCTAGCAGAGCCTGCAGGCTGTAGTGAGACGAAAACGGAGGGGGAGCTGGGGCGGGCGGCGGAGTGGCCACAGGATAGAGCGGCGCCGAGGGGCCTGCAGGCAGACGGAATGGTGGAGAAGGCCGGCCTCGGGAGAGAGTCCATGGTGAGGGCAGAGATGGGTCTCGTGTGCGCATGAGGCAGTGATCGGGACGAGGGTCTATCTGTGCATGAGGAGGGCAGGAAGGTGGAGCAGGGCAAGAGGGGGGGTCACTTAATACAAACACACCGCACCTTTGCGACCCTACTGTGCTGTCTGCTATCTACTACGACACCACGGACTCATGGCCGGACACTACATTTTCACATTTATTATGTACCCAAAAGAGTGTGCCATGGACTGATGACTGGCCTAGAGCATCCTCTGTAATTGGCGAAAATATCGGTCACTCCCTTGTCCGATCACATACGTGTGTGCATGTTCATGTGGGACCTTCGATCCCTCAGTGATGATTAGCTGAGGAGCTTCTTGCTGTATGTGTGCTGTACACAGCTATAGGACTACTTCTCTGTACATTATACCAGTGCTTGTTTCCATGGCCATAGGGATCAATAGAGCTGTGCATGTCACTCTTCTCATATCAGATTCATGAAGCCAAATATTATTTTACCCAGATCATGGCTCCAATATCCGACACAGAAGCAGCATGCTACAGGGCTAAGATAAATGCTGGTTTCTGGTTTTACATTCATTGCAGAATGTGTATACTGGCAGAGAATGGAATACTCAGCGTGTTTCCATAGTTATATAGCCAAGCATTTTGTTTTGTAGATTGCAGCTGTCTCCTATCCATTCTGTAGTACATATGAGGGCCATAGCAGTGATGTCATCAGATATCTCCTATACATGTAAAACGTGATTTGTTTTCCATGTATATTCACCTACTGTGTTACCTTTCTTTGTAGTCTGCGTCCATTACTCAGGGTTCATTCATACTATCCATTGCGGTGCGTTAATACACACAGCGTTAGGGCGGTCCTCATGAGCTGCACAGCCATGGACATGACCCGTTTTATCTAAACCTATCACACTACATGTGTTGTGCTTTATGCGTTGGGGTGCCACTCACAATGAATGGCGCCTCAACACACACACTACACATACAACAGGTGCGTTGCCATGCATTGTGGCAAGTATGGAGTAATGTGTGTTTAAGCACACTTTGTCACAATGCATAGGTGTGAATGGGCCTTAATGATGCATGTGTTTTTAGTGGCCGTTGCCATAATGCATAAGTGTGAATGGGCCCTTAGAGCTTCCCATCTGTCTTCCAGCAAGCATGACACATCCGTATATACTTACACACCCCATACACCACTTGTTAATGTATTGGCTCATTAGATATGATGCATAATAATGCTGTGTGGGTGTGTTTGTTTGCTTCCACATAAAGGAGACCAGTGTAGTGGCACCTGTTGTCCTTTTTATTACCCTGCTCAATCTACTACTAACATTCTAAAGATGTGTTGTTGTTGTGGACACAAAGGAATGATGTAAAATAATACTTTGCTTTTCAATATCTTAAATATAAATTCCTGAAAGTTGCTGAACTTTTTTTCATTGGCTCATCCTTTCAGACTTTTCAATGTTACATAGTTATGCCAGCGTTCATGTACAATTCAATTTAATAAGTTTTGTAATTCATGGTTCTTTTTTGGTTTGCTTTTAGCCCTCCCTTATGCCAACTGGACTAAACCCAGCTTTTTCAGGCAGTGCCCAAATGCACACCAAGCAGGGCATGAAATTGGAAGCTGTGATGGAGCAACTACAGAAACAGCAGCAACAAGCCGCTCGTAGCATGGAGGAGCGGGAGAGACAAATTAGAGAAACGCAGAGGCTGTATGCCCAACAGATGGCTTCACAACAGTTAATGAAGTCCATGGCAGGCTCTACCACCGTGTCATCTTTGAAAGCCCGCCCGCCCATGGCCTCTCCACAGAGTGCTAGTGAACCTGATGAAGATGAGGAGATGGAGGATGAAGACAGTGATGGAGAATCGTTTAGTGTAGAGGATGATGCCAGGGCAGGGCAACCATCCATACTTGCACAGAAGTATCTTCAGGCCCAGAGAGAGCAGCAGGGAATAGTTGTTCCCAATCCACAAGGCAACACCAGTCAGCGACACCAAACTGTGAAGGAGGAACCAAAGGAGGAGAACTTCAACCCTTCTACATCTAAACACCTCAAACAAAGTTTGGAAGACCCCATTAAGCCGGTAAGAGGAACTCTAGCTTAGAATAGTTTAAAACACCTGACAGCTCCCTGGACTATAATAGGTTGCATTATAAGACAGAATATGGTTAAACTGTTTAAACTATTTCAAGCACACATCCCATATTTTGTCAACCATATGAACTAATACGATTTTAGATGTACTTGAAGCTCCAGCCTTACGTTAGTCTTACATATTGGTATGGGCTCCTCTCCTGTACTGAAATTGCTTACTCTTATTTTGGCCTCCTCGGACATACTGTGCTTTACCTTCCCCTTTGCATGCAAATACACTCCCACTTCTCCAGTCTGACATCTATCCATCAGTGTTTTGATATTTGCATAACTCCTCCCAAGATCCAGCCCACTACCTAAATTTAGGGCTGGGGGCTCTTGAATGGAGTATTGAGGAAGAGTGCTGTGATGTTTCCAGGAAGCTGTTTACAGCACCCTGCCGGCCTCTCCCACAAACCATGATCTGTCTGCATTGCATAGTTGCGTGGAGACATTATGACATCATTGGGTATAAAAAAAAAAAGTATGTCATGAAAACTGTTTTTTATAAGGGTCTGTAAAGTGCCACAAGCAAAGCCAAGTCCCCGAAGGTCACATTCCAGTTTGACATCGCCCCATCCGTAGGCATACTTGCAAAGTGAGCCTTCAAAGACTGGGTCACAGCAGGGGCTGTACCACGGCTCTGGACCTGGAGAACGTTCTGCGGATAACACAGTATAGGTCTGGAAAGCGCCACAAGCAGAGCCCAGTGCCCGAAGGTACATTCATGTGGTGTTGGAAACTTGAGAAATACAAGGTTCTGACTTGTATTTGCCTCATGAATAGCCTCTAAGGTGGTATTTACAACTTGGGCAGTTTGGACTGTAGGATGCTTATGTGGGTTGTGATGTCAAAAAGGCTGTTGGGACCTATGGACATCACATACAGGAAGTACCATCAATACGACACCACATAAATGCAGAAATGGTAAAAAAAAAAAAAAAAAGTTTTGGCTTTTTTTTTTTTCTTCTATGTTTGAAGCACCAAAGGCCTGGAAATTCTTTTTTTTTTTTTGGTCCTGATAATCATTAGAGCAGCTGGACACTAGGGATGCCGTAGTTGGAAAGTTCAGTATTAAGACTTGTGGAGATCACATTGAAGACATAAATGAAGCAGATGTAAGTTTACAGATGGTTGTCTTGTCTGAAGGTTCCCTATAAAACATTAATAGTGTCTTTTCCAGTGTTTGAAAGTTTCACTGAAGACCTTCCACCTTTTGGGGCATTTATTAAATAAACATACTTTAAATGAAGCTTTCAGGTACTCGTTGGGCAGTCATTTTCTTACCCCTGTCTTTCTACTTGGTGGATGCTTTAAACCACCTTGACTGCACTACTGCTTATGGCCAGTCTAGAGTCCTGTACATGTACATACGCAGTGTTTGCCTAGTTCTTTATACCTGAAACTCTCATCCCCAGGTGATGCAACCTCGATAATGTTTGCAGTTGATGTCTGGTATACAGGCAGTCCTGAGGGCATATGAGCAATCTTGCACAAGGTGTGCACGTGGTCTCTACAGGGCTGTTCATAGGGTTAAATGAACTGTGTAATCCCCAGGTGGGGTTTCTCTCTTTCTGTGTTTAGTGCAGCCAAGTGCATTAATGCTGACCTGTACTATATACAGTAAAGGTAGGCAAACTCTGTCCCTAAATCCCATTAGGCATTGCAAGACACTGACAGCCACAGACATGACTCCCAAAGGGAGATGCATGATGTGATTTGTAGTTTCACCACAGCCGGAGGACCAGAGTTTGCCTACCCCTCATATATATGGCGTCTGTGAACATTTTCATAGGTTCCATTGCAGGTAGACAGTAATAAGTCATGTTTTGTCTAAACTGCGCGAATGTGGGTTTGTTATATAAATCGGTTATAGATATGTCCTGTTGCACTCCTTACCAATTCCAAAGAATAAACCTGTAAGATCAGACGTGTGTTTGAAGTGACCACGGGTGGCACTATGAATGTCCCATAGAGTCCAGAAACGTCACCCGCACACCATTTAGACGTGAAGAAAATCCATTTAATGACACACACTTGTCATTCAAATGCAAACGTTTCCAGGGCCTCACAGGGTCCCCTTCATCAGGCTCCAAATGTTCTATAAATCGGGGACATACAGGTCTCGACTCTTCACTGACATAAACTGTTGGCTCATGATGTGCTAAGTTCACTCAATATACTTTTCTATTTGTAGTTTTGTCAGATCTTCTCTGAAAAGATCCTTCTTATGTGACTAGGTCAGACTTCCATGAGAGATGGCGGACTCGGCCATGAATTTATATGTCGTCATTGCTTGCGATTATTGCCTTTGCTGATAATAGTAACACAAATTTGAGGTTTTTTTTTTTGAGAACTTTTTCAGCTTTGTGTGAAGGAATTAAGATCAATTATTTTAAGTTGACAGCTGTAGTCACAAGCCGTTTTCCTCTAGTTGGAAATGCTGTTTGTACAGCTGCTGAGAAGCTGTTAGAGCTCTTGCCCCCTCCCTGAAAATTCATTGAGGTTTGTAAAACCAAAATGTTGGGTTTATTAGTACCATTTCAAGGAAACCCTTTGATACTGAGATGAATGCTCTGTGTGCAGTTGCTGGTTACCTGGCATTCACAATGATGTATTGGTTCAGTATGCAGAAGTTGAGACTTCACTTGGTGCATACTTGCTGTGGGTGAGGTGTTCAGAAACACCATTTTTAATAGGTCAGCATTTGCACCTCCTCGTGTTTCAGAAATCGTTTTCTTTAAAAATAAATCACAAAATATTGGGCTGCCATGTCTGAGGTGCTTCTGAAAATGTCAGTTGCCTGACTTATGAGGACCCTCCTATGAGTCACTGAACACAGGGGTGTAGATGGATCATTAGAAATTCATACATGTTTAAGATCTGTGGTATTAAAGTTAGCATGAGGGTCAGCATGATCGTCAGGCAATTAGAATATCAAGGGGTGGAGGTCAGCAATGGCAGCCTCCATGTATTTCTCACGATAGGCTTCCTTTAACTCGCTGTACTTGCATGCAGTTTATGTACTGTGTAACTGTGATGTGTGAGCAAGGTCTTGGTGTCTGGTTTGGTAAACTTCATCTGCTATGACATTTGTATGTGGCCCTAAACAAATACAAAACATATTTATATAGAATTGGCTGTCCATTTTTGGCATCTTCCGTGACCACACTGCACTGTGCATAATTGCTGTCTGCAGGCAAGCTCGTTTTTTCTGGCTGTTTTATTTCCTTTTATAAATTCAAAATGTCATTCAAACACATAAGTTGGGGTCCCTTCATCCAAGCTTGAAATGAGACCACCCACAAAGATCTAGACATGTACTAAACATCTCTAGGTTCTTATTGGCAACATGAAAGCCGGTGTCATCATTTTTTATAAAGGAGGATATACAAACTTTGTAGGTTTTTTCCCCCTTGCACACAGATGTATGCTTGTGCTTTATGTTTTGTGTTCTCTTCTATATACAGTAAGTAGTTAGTAAATCTTAGCACAGGAAATGTCCCATCACTTCTTAACTTGCTTTTCATCCCAGTGTTGAATTACTAGACTGAATTTTAATTCACGATTCAGAGATCTATAATTTGAGGAAATTTTAAAGTGGAAATCCAGGCAAACGGCTAATTATACAGTTGGAATGAGTGTTTTACCTGCCAAATTATTTGTAATTCTGCACAGACTGCCCTGGATATACACATATGTACTACAACCCATAGCCCAGGAGGTACCATTTATATTGAGGTTAATCAATGGCTCTTTTTATGGCGCTCTTTGCCACCAGCCTGCTCACTAGATGTTGAATTGGCATTATCTTCTGTTTGGATTCGTACCACGAGCATTAAATGTGCTTGGGTTGACATTGTGTGGATGTGCTGTCTTTCCACAGGAGAAATTACCTTTTTTTTTCTTCTTTAAAATGTCCTTATTGTGCTCTTTTGCATGTACACAAACTCCCGGGTGCTATAGAATTTTTTTTTTTTTTTACACTCCCTGATGGCTGTTACACAGACTAGAGCAGCTGTAAAGCCACTCAATTGCTTCTATACACTAATAATGGAGACCCACCCCCATCTGTTTGCTAATCTTTCCTGTGGAGAATGAACCTGGAAGCACTCAGCTCTGAGCACTTCTATGTTCAGAGCTGTCAATATCTGGCTGCCTGACTGGAGTAGAAGGTAATCAAGCACAATCTGTGATCGATCAGCTTCAATGGTTTCTAACAGACCCCTAAAGTCTCCTTAAAGAGAATCTTTCACCTGCACTCTATCATGTAGGGGGGCTTATTAGCTCCTTTTTGATTGCAATACAGTTAAGTTGAAAAAAAAGAGGTAATAAAAAGAACTAAACACACTAAAACATTTTTAAAAGCACATAAGAACAACAGCGCGCACATTGGGTGCATTAGAAGGCGTTGAATACACAACAGGTATTAGGTATAGTTGCACATGCCAGACTGAGAGCATTATTGCTAGGACCATCATTCACTGCTGATTTGTAAAGGCTTTTAAACTGGATTTAAACTTGTATACATTTTTGATTGGTGTAGTTGTTGCCTGTTTCACAGGCACGTACGTTTACTAGGTTTGAAATATTTGGTATTTAGTTACTCAGTGCAACCTCATCTGTTATAGTTTTCCCAAAGTGTGTGTGTGTGTTCATTTAGGAGAACTATGGGGTAAGTGTTTTTCCCCATAGTTCTCCTCAGGGTCACGGGGGGGATATAAACTAGTACCACAAGCTACAGCTCGCGCTATACTGAGACCGCTGCAGCCGGGACTGATCCCGACATTACTGTCGAGATCCACCCAGCTGCGTGATTGACAGATGGCTCTGCCTATCTAGAGGCAGAGCCAGCTGTACCTGCCCTCTCCCCCATTCGTTCCTCCACTCAGCACTGGAGGATCGGACGGGGGGGGGATCCCTGCAGGGAGCCGTGAGTGACAGTCGCGT